TTAAAGTGCCGTGAGAGTATATTTTCTTTGATTTCGTGACCAGCATTCTTCAACGTGACGACGAGACAATAAGGATAGGATCGACTACCTCACAAACAGGCTCGAACCTATGTTAGTTAAATTCTTCATTATAAACTGATTGACGAAATGTATACATATATTGTAATTGCGCATTGAACTATAATGAAATGTACACATTATATAATTCGAACTTGCACATTGGACTATAAATGTATATCACGTACAATTTGGATTGAGATTGAAATGTATATGTTGAACTTGTACATTGAACTATAATAAAATGTACATATTATATAATTTGAACTTGTACATCGAGCTACAGTGAAATGCATATATATTGTACAATTAACGATTATATGTTCACAATAAACTTGTATACTGAGCTCCAATAAAATGTATGTATACATTTGTATAAATGTATACTGAATTACAATGAAAGGTACATATATATAATACACTGATCTGTTCGTTTTATGCAAGTCAATTTTAATATATTGATTTAATTAATTATATATATTTATATTATATATATTAATATATAAAATTAATAAAATTTATATTATATATATATAATAAAATTATAAAATATAATAAAATTTATATTATACATATTAATATATAAAATTGACTTAATTAAATTATATATATTAAAATTGACTTGCATAAAACGAACAGATCAGTGTGTTCGTTGAAAGATTTTTACTTCCGAGTATAATATTCGAGACTCACGGAACGGAAATTCAGATATGAAACTTGACTGGTGGTGGTAATATACGTATACATTGGAGTTGATCCCAGCCGTAGTTGCGACGGCGAGGCGCATCTCGAGCCCGTGGACGACAACAAGCGTAATCGGCCACCGTGACGAACCAGTGTTGACGTCTTCGCAGTTTTCCTAGGGTTGGAAGCTCGCCCCTTTCGCGAGGCAATTTAACCCCGTGTTCAGAGCTGTATCTCCATTAGCGAAGAGAGCGGCGTGTGTACCTTGGCTCGCGGGAATAAAAGAATTTACAATTCGCGCGCGCAATTCCAGAACGTTCGTCGTCGCCCGCTCGGATTATATTCTTTTCTCTCTCTCTCTCTCTCTCTCTCTCTCTCTTTCTCTTTCTCTCTTTTCTTTTTTGTTCTCCCCATTTTACGAGTCGTGCACGCGCGTTGAGGATTCTCCTCTCTGCTCTCTTTTCTTCTCCCTTTCCGGTTTTTTGTTTTTTTGTTTTGTTTTCTATTTTGACATGGAGTTGTTGCGGGAGAGAAAAAAATGGCAGGATAATAGAAATACGTTGTTTGGCACTCGTTAAAATAAACAATAATCTCGCAAAAGGCGGAATTGTTTTGTACTCTCTCTCTCTCTCTCTCTCTCTCTCTCTCTCTCTCGCTGTTTCTCGTTTCGGCTTTTCGTTGATAAAACCGTATTCCGATCTTCTACGTGGCTTTATTTCCATGCAAATCTGATATTTTCGTTGGAACGTGTTACAGAATTTTGAAAAGTTTCCCAACACTGTTAACTCGTCTCTGCTCTACCGTTTCGCATATTCGATTCTTTGCCGTCCGATCGATAGGTGGCACGGGGTATTCGTAGCCTTCTTTCAAATCTATATAACACGTTTATCTAATGTATCGAGGTATATCGATGGGCTTGCAATTGCGCGCAAAAGTAATAAGTTACAAGAACGTGTTATAAACATTCTCGTCTTCCACTGATTCAATGAATGTTCATTTTACCTATTTATCTATTCGAGTATCTATTCACGAAGTGAAGAATCATCGTGATCGTGAAGCGCTATGGCTTTCAAGTACCGTCGAGGTACAAAATCGTGAAATCTCGCAACTTTTTTGCTTCGTGGGATCCACGCTTGAAATTAATCGCGCGCGATATTGGTTCCATCGACAATGAACGACGACAGACGTTTCCGATTACTCTTTCAGCTTGACGAACACGTCCATTGATATTTATGATTCATTGGCTATCAGCAGCGTAGCGCGAGCGCACTTTCAACGAAAAGGCCGTCTGTTCCTGAAAAAAAAAAGAAAAAAAAACGAAGGAGAAAGAAAAAATATCGTATCAAATTCATTGGTAGCTTGTGCCTGAATTTTTCACGAAATACGTTCAATGATTTTTAAATGGAAGCCGCAATGAGATGGATTCAAGAGAATATCATTGGGAATATCAGTTAGAGAATATCATTGGGAAATGCGTGAATAAAATGTATATTTGGGTAATTTGATCATTTTTCTCTCTCTCTCTCTGTCTCTGTCTCTGAAAAAAGATCACGCAGTCTGTGTATTTGCGCCCTTTCCATATCTCAATTACTATAATATGCTTTTGAAGCTCGTACATCGTGCAACGTAGTTGAACGTGTCAAAAAAAAAAAAAAA